AAGTTCTAAGTTCATAGCCAAATGGTTTATCTCAATTGATTTTCCAATCCAAATATGATTTAATCCCAATATCAAAAATATCACTTTTATCCATTCATGAATTTCATACATGAAGTAAAAGTATATTTTATCACAATTTTCATAGTTAATTCCATTACCATACCATTTCTTTCATATCACATAATCATACACAATTTCTTACAAATTTGTATATTATGCTCTTTTCCTTATAGACAATAGTCTTCTCATTCTTAGGCATTATTAATCATTAATAATCCTTAAAAACATATTTAATTACCTTAGGTAATCTCATGAAATTAACCCAAAGATTATAAGCAATATAGTCAGCCATCCTCACCTTGTGAAGTGTTACAATAGTTGCCTTTGTTAAGCCCCTCGGTCGATCCCCGCTCTAGGCCGATAAAAGGCAAATTCCTGGACAGTAGCCCAAAAGCCGGGCGGCTTTCACCCAAAGCCGGGCGGCTTTCGTAGTCTGCAACCACGAACAGCTTCTTCTCCTTGGCGGTTTCCGGTGGTTTCAACTCCTATCGATTCCACGACTCTTCTAAGTTAAATACCACCACTTTATAACATTATTCTACACTTTTAAACGTGTAGAACTCCACGTTTAATCCACCATATGATTTCTTAAAAATCATACAACACAAAACTAGTTAAAGAATGTTTATGGAGTTCTTACCTCAAAAACTATTCTTTTCTCCTGGGGTCTTCTTTCTTCCTTGAGCTCGTGTGAAACTTGCTAGAGCTCTCTCTCCCTCTCTTGGCTTTGGTTGAATGGTTGAGGATGAAGGATGGGATATCTCCTTCTCAACCAAGTGAGAAATAATGAGAGTAAGTCAATGAGGGGTGTGGGTTTTGTCTCCAAACATCCCATCTTGCATGAGTCCGCCCCACCCCATATTTTGTTGTCTCATTCCATCATTTGGAGTCTACAACCCATGTGGGAAAGATCCCAAGTGGGTGTAGGAAGTCCCTCCCAATTATTTCTGCTATTTCTGGCCGGTCGGGTCAAAATAGCGCTCGGGTTGTCCAAATATTTTTATCAACTTCGGTTGGCATTTATTGGGCTTCTATAATTATTATGATAACCCAACTAAATATTTGGTAGTCCATTCTCGTATAATGGACCCGATAAATAATTTAATCAATCGCACATTAATTAAATATGTCAATCAATTCCACGAATTTTATTCGTTTGGAAATGCAAATACACATCGTCTTTAAATTTCAAGTACATTCGGGTGCGGTGTCACACATTAAATGCGCCTAGCACTTATGGATGCTATAAATAGCGTCTCTTTTTCCTCTGTAACACACAACGACTTCATTTATTACATTCTCTCTCTCTCTCTCTTACTTGTTGCTCTGAATTCTCTCTAGATACCCCTCGTGGTAATCCCCGGATAGACAATCCATCAAAGGATCTAAATCATAAATGTTACATCGTAAAACTGAGAACTTGACTGAAGATTTGTAGAGAAATTTTGATGGGACCTTTCAAAGCAAGGTTGGATATATGCATTCAAGCACCTTCACAATAGGTTTGTATAGAGAAAATGAGAAGAGAACTAGAACGAATAATGAAATAATGATAACAATAACAATGATAGAGTGTTATTATTACTTTTTTTTTAGAAAATTAAAAAATACTTAAAAACAATCGAACCAAGTGAACTTGTTTTTAGGCTCTTTCTCTCTATAGGGTGGGTTTCCACCGCTAGGGTTTTTCCTCCGCTATCGTTTGTAACAAGGAGCGGCCGCCGCAGGCGGACTTAAACTTACAAGGTTTCTTCTTCCGCCATTAATTGTGCGGCTTTTCGTCTTCTTTTGCTTGGTGAGATTAAGCGGAGGGGAGATGGTGTTTGATCTCTGACGGCCGAAGATTGTGTAAGGACGGAAGATGGAAGCTTGGTCTCTGGCGGCCAAAGCTCATGGACGAAGCATGGGGCTAGAGGCTAAATCAGATCTGGAGTCGAGGTCGTCTGTGTAAGGTGGCGACAGAGGAGGCTTGGTAGAGAACATGATGAATAAGAGGCAATGTGAGGAAGAAGCTACAGTACTGCTGGAACGTCCCCCTCCTGAACTGCCGTCATTGAGTGCAGGAGAATCTAAGCATCTTTTTAATTTTACTGTTTTCTTGCGAATTATTTTTCATGATCAGACCTTTTATTTTTCTGTTGGTTACTTTTATTATTGTAAGACTCTTGCATTAAGATTGGGTGATAGGAGGTTTGCTTTAACCGTCTTTGGCTCATGTAAGTCCATTATAGGATCAACGAGTTATATTGCTTTTCAGAAGGTGATTGACTCTAAGTCTGGTTCGAGAGCTGTCGGTTGCCTGTGGTCCTTATATCGTTTTAACCCCTTTACGAATGCTAATACTGTGATATCAATGTAAGCCCCCCTCTTCCGAAAAAAACCCAATTGCAGAATATTGTGTAACGAAAGATGACACAAAAGGCAAACGCGTGTGAATAATGAAAAGGAAAAAAAAAAGTAAAAAGGGGAATTAAAAAAGCTAACAACAAATATTGCTAGTAGCAACGTGTAGCAAAATGGTTAAGTGTGTGCTTGGTAGGCATAAGCTACTACCTTTTAACTTTTATACTATTTAAAAAGTCTCTCTAAAAAGTTCTAATTGTATGTTTGACATGACAATTGTTAAGAGTTTTTTGAGAAGCTACATGGAGTAACATTTGAGAGAAGTATGTAACTTTTGACATTAATTAGTCACAACAGCTTATATACCAAACATAATTAAATCAAACAGTCAACTTTTTATAAACAACTCTCATCTTTTTTTTTAAGATCTTTTCAGTCTCTAAAATCTTACAATTATTAAAAAATTTACCAAAGTATCTTTTCAACTAGTTGTACTAAACGATATGATTGATTCATGATAAGTTTGTCATTTTTCCAAAAAAACAACAACTAGTTGTACGGAACATAGCCTAAATGATTGTTGGCAAGAATAAGCTTATAAGGTGCTTGAAGCAGATGTTTTACTTAACACTTATTTTTGTTGGACAACGAGTCCAATAATCTACAAGGACTAAATCAGCCAACAAGTGTCGCTTATGCCATTTACAATGCTCCAAAAAAATTAAATCCCCAACCTCAAGGGCCCCACACCCCAACTCGACAAGGCATTTGAAAGGATGTAAATAATGATGAATCAGTCAACTCAATGATGGTAGACCTTACACCCATGCACACAAGAAGTTCAAGCAAGCACACAGGAGTTGTAACTTTTAACCGCCACACGACTGCTGCGAGTTTTGATCCATCTTAATCAATGTTCTATCTTTCTCGCCGCTCAATCAACCGAGCTACCTTTGAGGGTTCCTATGCCATTTACAAAACGTCCCTTCGAAAAAGTTAGGGAAAACTATCAAATAAGCCCCCGTACTATGCCGAAAAAGTCAATTAGGCCCTCGTACTTTAGAAACACTCAATTAAGTCCTCAAACTATTAAAAAACGTTCAATTAAGCCCTTTTGGTCGGTAAGTAACCGGTTTCCCGGTTAAACGACGACGACGGCGACGATGTGCTCGAACCCCAGCAACGACGGCTGGCGGGACAAGGGTTACATTTAACCGGGAAACCGGTTACGTACCGACCAAAAGGGCTTAATTGAACGTTTTTTAATAGTTTGAGGACTTAATTGAGTGTTTCTAAAGTACGAGGGCCTAATCGACTTTTTCGGCATAGTACGGGGGCTTATTTGATAGTTTTCCCAAAAAGTTATCAAGTGAAGAATAAAGAATAGTGTATTATAGGCGCTCACACAAGCAAGTTACCAATCCAATAGATAACCTTTAAAATTTAAATCATTTTTTTTAGTTTTTTACAACTTTTTGCTTGATTAGAGGGGTTTTATTGCTTTTTCATTATATTACAATAGCTAATTTGACAATTTTCTCAACAAAACAAAAAATTGATAATACGCAAATCACCCTAATTTAAGTGACAGATTTAAGTTGTTGCCCGACACACATTAGGCGAGGGTCCGGGAACGTGTCCCCACAAGGGTGTATAAGTAACAAAACCTTCCATTGTTATTTGAAGAGACCACTCAAGAATTGAACCCGTGACCTCGATCACACAACACCGTAACTGGTGCACCAAGCCTCTCCTAGTAGGGATTAGGGGTGGACTCGGGCCGGGCCAACCGGCCCGGAACCGGACCGGCCCGCTACTGTGCGGGCCCGGACCGGTCCGGTCAACCGGTTGGTGCACCGGTTCGGGCCACCCGGCCCGGTGGGATGGCGGTCCGGGCTCGGGCCCTGATTTTGGTGAACCGGCCCGGCCAGTTCGGGCCCGGTCCGGGCCGGATTTTAATTTTTTTTTTTTTGAAATTTTTTTAAGTTTTGGGTTGGATTAGGTATTTTGGGCCATTTGAGGTGGTTTGGGGTTGAGGGGTAGGGGTAGGGGGTTAAAAAGGAGAACCAAAAAAAAAAAAACCGGTTGGCCCGGCCCGGTTTGGCCCGGAACCGGAACCGGAACCGCCCACCGGCGGTTCGGGCCCGGGCCCTAGTTTTCTGGCCCGAGGCCCGGCCGGGCCCAGGCCCGAACCGGGCCCGAACCGGCCCGAGTCCACCCATAGTAGGGATGGGCCGGGCCTGGGTTGACCGGCCCGTTGACCGGCCCAGCCTGACACTGTTTAATCTCTTTTGAACCGGCCTAACCCGGTTGGCTGAGACTAGGAACGAGCCTTGGGCCTTACCCGGGAGGGGTTTTGGGGCAGGTAATGGGTTGGGCTGGATGGTTTGGGGGTGGTGGTGGGGGGAAGGAACAAGGAAAACCAAAAAAAATTACAAGACCCAACTCGACCCGGTCCCGGCCCGGTCCCAGAACTAACCCGGTACCGGGCCTCGTGCCCAAAAAAAATTGACCCGCCCCGGGCCCGGTCCACTCCTATCTCCTAGTATTCATCTTTGATATAATAAGAAATATAAATACGGAGTATTTTTTAGGAAAAAAGAATGACGTGAGCCTAAAAATAGACAGTCATCTTTGATAGGGTATACCAGATTTAAGGTTCAAGTTAAAGTATTCATCTTTGAAAGAAAATTTAACTGTTAATGAACATGAGCTGCATGTTTATCATTTTCAAACTTATATTGCTTACGCAACAGTAGAAATTAAATCAACATAGTTTTCAGGAAAAACTTTACAGCACATTTTTTAACAAGCTAATGAAATTGGTCCGTCAGCAAACGAAGAAGAGATACACTTCCATCACTTATATTCCTCACATTGATTGTTGCTGATTTCCTTTCTGCTTTGGTACCCTGTTACATAGCCAGTCATATGAACAGCCCATATTATTATACCAGGAAGGAATTGTCAATACTAAATTGATCCTGATCCTAATCATCCAAATGATTATAAACAATTTGTGCCTTTGTGGTATTGAGAAATACATTTATGCATATGGATCTGACATTGACTTTGAAGTAATTTAGCCAGTTGATGTGTTTCACATTGTTGCAACGGTAATATGAAATTATGAGACAAAATGACTAAAAAATAAAATAAAAACTAAAAATGACAATATGAATTACTTTTCAGTATTCAAAACCACAGGTGAGCAAGCTGCTTTTAAAAGTAATGAAATCACTTCTAAGAATTTAGTCAAAACCACTTTAAAACAGAGCCTTTTGGATTTCCAGGCAGACAACCCATGAAAAAATAGTTTGAAAAGCCAATACAAATTTCATGAAGTAAATGATCAGTACATTTAAGCCAGTCTTAATATTGATACTGACTACAATTATTATCGAGTGGATAATTGGTGAATGCAGCACAGCCTTAGACTGCAAATAGAAATAAAAGGGTAAAAGGGATTGATCTAAATTTTAGGATCTCACCTTCACCTTCTCATTATCATCCACGAAGTCTACATTGCCAATATCCTTTAATAGGATGGACGAAGCTGGTTGGAGTCTCCTTTTAAAGGAAATGACATATGATTGCAAATATTGTTGCAGTTAAAAAAGGGTAAAACAAAACCACTTTTTGTCCAATGACAAATAGGTCATTCCACTTTTGGTACCTGTCATTTTTTCACTCTTGGCGTAAGACTATGGATTTCTTGTCAACTTTGGTCCTTTCCATCTTATTATCCGGCAAAAATCTACCAAGAATAATAGTCGAAAATGGCCGGGTATGTGGTTAAAAATGGCAAGAAGCTCATAGTCGTGCACCAAAATAGGAAAAATGAAAATTGGGAACGAAAAGTGAGAACGATCTGATACTCATCCGACCCAAAGTGGGATATTTTCAAAATGAAATGATGGCATTTGATAGCTGCTTCAGTCAAACCTTTTAGGTTTCTCTACAATTTTGGGATAGCCGAAAGATGTTTGTTTCGGTACAACTTCTAATGCATTACTTTCAGGATTTGGCACCCGGGGATGCAAGTGTTTCTGAATCAAGCAAAAGACATAAGAGCATAAAAAATGTTGGTTGTCTAAATTAGAAAAGTAAATTATATATGAATTTTGGAATAATGTGAAAATGTACAACTACTCTCATCATCATCATTACCCCAGTGCCGCAAAGGCTCCCACACCTTCGGTGGGGTAGGGGGGTCGGATGTACGTAGTCTTACCCCTGTACTAAAGCACAAAGAGTGTTTCCAGATGACCCATACAACTACTCTCTTCTACATTAATAAATTTCGTCTGAGAAAAGAAAGATAATAGAAAAAAAATCGTCTGAAAACAAAATAGTGAATCTAGAAAAACTTCAATGACGGATCTACACTCAATTTCTATAGGGGGGTAAGGGGAGGGGGTCGGATGTACACAGTCTTACCCCTGTACTATAGCACAGAGAGACTGTTTCCGGATGACCCATACAACTACTCTCTTCTACATTAATATATTTCGTCTGAAAAAAGAGAATAAAAAAATAAATTTCGTCTGAAAACAAAATAGTAAATCTAGAAAGACTTCAATGAAGGATCTACACTCAATTCCTATAGGTTAAAGAAGCGGAAGTTCTAGAACAGAGGTGATCATATTTCAGTGACGAGACCAAGTAGACATATAGCTATATAAGAGAGTGAATGTGGAAGCAATTAACCATGATCATAAAAAATACATCATGTATCAAATACATAAAACAACTGAAATGTGAAATTACCTTTACGTCATCGTACTGCAGGGGAAATTTGTCAGTGGGTTCCACAAGTATTGAATCTAAATAAATTAAGTAAAGATCATATTAGTACATTACTAGGTGAACAAAGAAACAGACAAAAAGAAAACAGTTGCCTCGATTTATTTTACTACCACATGTCCTTTTATAGAGGGGTTTTTCTTCTTGATCACTGGACTGGCATGAATTTACCATGGTCTTGGATGCTCCACACTCCAAATTATCTCCCACTTTAACATCTTCTACATTTGGATCTTGAGAGGATTCTACAAACTGTCCTAAAAAAGCAATAGCTTATTAGCTTTGCTGCATGAATATCCCATTGAAGCTAAAAGCTTAAGGGTATGCTCTGATCACGGAGTTTTATAGGGAAAGGAAAAAATTGCTAATGTATTCTTATGTTTGGTTTCACCACAAAAACTGCAAGGGTGTTTGATTTTTTATGGGCGGAGAACTAGGATTTCAGAAGAGTTCTTTAGAATAACAAAGCAGGATGAGATTAAAAGATGCTGCAGGTATGCCACTACTCTTAGGCTCTGTTTAGGTGGAGCCTTTGAACCAAACAGGGGCTTAGGGTATGATTGGGACAAGGGGAGGAAGGGAAGTATTTTGTGTTACCTTATTAGGTTTAGATGGGATGAGGAAAGGGGTGAGAATGCTAAAATTAGGCCCCCCTCAAAACAGCCAAACTGGCCTGCCTAAAAAAGACTGGGGGGGGGGGGGGGGGGGGGGCTTCCCTCCTCTCAACCAACCCCAAACAAAACATTTAGCATTTTTTTAACAAGTCTGGTGGGTCTGAAAGATTTTGTATATTTTGGGATAAGTCTTTCAAGAGTCTGAAAGATTTTAACGGGTTTGTAATGAATACCTGATAGAGACCCGGGTAGACTAATAATAATAATAATAATAATAATAATAATAATAATAATAATAATAATAATAATAATATTATTATTATTATTATTATTATTATTATTACAAGAGTTGGTATTAATAGATGCTGAGGGTAGAATAACAGGGAGGCTGGTATTAGCTTGGACTTGGGACTTGGAGAGTTGGCACTCTTTAACTGCCAGTGAACATTTTTCTCTCTTTTCTGTTATACAATTGCCTCCATTGTTACGCAACTATCTTTCTTGAGTAACTAGCTTACTGAAATTACAGTGAATTGGCCTGAAACCTATCATTTGGTATCAGAGTGTGATTCCTATTGCCTGTGAATTTGTTGTTAACCGCATCAGTATGGAAAGCAGATTGGAAGCGACAAAGCACAAGGTGGAACGCAACAGTGAGGAGCTGCGAAACATTAACAAGACGATTGCGGACATGCGCGATTTAATGGTCCAGCAGAATGACTGTCGATCACGAGGCTGAGCGAGGAAACCTAGACATCATCAGAAATCTGAAAAACAAGGCTCGTCGTTAGCCGCAGTTTCCTCTTCGCAGTCGTGAACTTCGTCTCACAGTTCGCAGTCACAAAATGTTTCTTTGAGGTTGCAAACCTCTTCTTGCAGTACCAGTGTCGTTGCAAGCAGAAGACCTCAGTTCGCAGTCGCTAACCGAGTCTTCTAGTTCACAGGCTCTGTCGCGAGCGGTTACCAGGGGTTCACAGATGTCATCACAAGCCGCGTCTCCCAGCGCGTTAACTTCAACATGCCTACAGGAATCATCCGTTTCAGGAGCCATAACCCTAGTTGCATCAGGAAAAGAATCGCCAGGAGCTTTAACGCTGGATATGAATACTGAGTTGAAGTGGTGGCACTAACAGTTTGGAACCTAGCGAAGTTGACATTCCTTACCATCAGGAAACTAATAGCCCAGAGCATAATGTTGCTGCCGTGGAACTGACCAACAATGACATAGGAGAGGATAAAGAGGGCTGGTTTCACACACATCCTTACCTATGATACTCGGAAGTATGCTAGTGCACTAGACCGAAACACAGAATATTTTAAAGCTGTGATTGGGGGAGTTCATGAACCGGAGTTGGGTGTCCTAATCGATATTGTGCAGTCATTCATCAAGGGGAAATTTGGAAGGGCTGGATAAGTTGGAGGGTTTCAAATTTGATGATGTTACTTCTATGAGGTGTATTCAAAATGGGTTGGGAGTACAATTTACTGGGAATTATAATGAATATTTTGGATATGATACTAAAGTGGACGTTGTCATGTATCGGATGATTGTCAATGACCTTATTCATGATTATCCAGTAACTAACGGCATCATGCAACAAGAGGGAAAGGAAATGAATGCATTAGAGAAGTAAAGAACACATGTTGTATGGCGTAATAATTGTTATTGGTATAATGATTAAAGAAGAAGAAAAAGAAAAGATAACATACATGGGGGAGGAGGAGGGGGGGGGGACATATCTTAGTCGGCAGGAAGAGTTTTGGACTAGAGTACCTTATACACTTCTTCTTTGTGTTCTAACAAGTCTCAAATGAATACCAAATTTTTATGGACTTTGTGAAAAAACTAAATATTTTGATTGAATAAAGAATCACCCCAGTGCCGCAAAGGCTCCCCACCTACGGTGGGGTAAGGGAGTTTGGATGTATGCAGTCTTATCTTGTACTTGAGCACAGAGAGACTGTTTCCGGATGACCCATAGTGAAAATCGCGTTCGAAAATTACATGAATTGACTGGTGCTTCATAACAAAGAAGCACAAACGATTTAGTTACCCATTTTGCTTTACTACACCATATTCCCAAACCAAAAAATAGTGTGTCTTTGGATCCATTGCAAATGATGAAAAGTTTGTCTATCCGACCCTAATTGAATACAACATGACTTATTTATATTCTCTAAAAGTCTTGATTGGATAAAACAATATATGATAAATGTAGCCTAACAAAGATTTAGAAAAGTAAGCTTAAAAATCAACATGATATACAATTACCTTTCTCTCTTCATGCAAGGGAGAGTTGGCAGTGGGCTCCACAAGTTTTGTATCTAAAGAATTCAAGTAAAATTCATACATTAGTATGTCACAAAACTAGGTGAACGAAGCAGTTAAAGAAGAAAATGGTTGTCAAGTTCTTTACTACCACCTGTCATTCCATTGGAGTTTTTGTCTTCCTTGACACTGGAATTGCATAAATTTATCATTGTCTTGGGTGTCCCAAATTGTAAAGGAGCATCTTCCTCTTCTAAATACTCTAATTTTGAGTCTTCAAGGGATTTTCCAAACTGTTCCTCAAATAGCAATACCTTATGATAAGAGCAAAAATAAATTAATCAACAGTAGCAACTGTTGCCCAAGCTTAAGAGCCCGTTTGGTAACACGAAAATCGGCTGATTCGGCCGATCCTGCTGAAACTTATGAAATTCTGGCTGAAGTGGCTGCATTGGTTGATTCTGCTGATTTAATAAAAAATTATTTTCAAAATATATTTTATTAATAAAATAATGAAAAAATTATATGTAAAAATAGCTAAAACGGTCATCTACAGTAACTTCAGCCAATACAGCCAGAAAAGTAGCTCCAATCTTATTTTTTCGGGATAAGGGTTAGATAGGGTCTCGAACTTGAAAAAAAAATGTCAAATAAGGCCATATTTCGGATGCTCTGTCCGGCCGACGCCATTTGGGGCGGTTCCCGATGGAATTTTTTGATGAAATTTTTTGAGAATCTTATTCATCAAGTCTAGTTTACTCATATCAAATTTGAACTAAAACTTCAACCGGAAAGGCATTCAAATGAATTCTTGAAGATAACTGTGCAGTTAAAAGCGCAATTATCTTCAAGAATTCATTTGAATGCCTTCCCGATTGAATTGTTAGTTCAAATTTGATATGAGTAAACTAGACTTAATGAATAAGATTCTCAAAAAATTTCATCAAAAAATTCCACTGGGAACCACCCCAAATGGCGTCAACCGGACATAGCATCCTAAATATGGCCTTATTTGACATTTTTTTCCAAGTTCGAGGTCCTATCTGACCCTTATCCCTATTTTTTCTTATTATTACACAATTCAGCGAAACTAATCAAAAGTTACGTGTTTGGTGAAAAAGTTGGTTGATAAGCCTGATAAGCCGAAAAACAGTGTTACCAAACGGCCTCTAAAGCTAAAACTCCAATATTATTAAGGAAAAATTGATAGTAATATTCCCAACTATTGACGGTCCGCTCATAATAATCCCAACTATTGATTATTACAGAATAATCCCAATTTTAGGGACCTTCCGCCAATAATGGTCCCTATGAATAAATTTTTGTAGTTTCTAAAGTGGATGAGATGAGATATAACAAGTAATCCCTATAAATAATCTCAAGTTTTAATTTTTACGCTTAATTTCTATTTAAAATTCACTTTTTATAGAGGTAATATATGGTCATGGACCATTATTGGCGGATAGTCTCTATAGTTGGGATTATACAAAAATAATCAATAGTTGGAATTATTTTCAGTGGACCGGCAATAGTTGGGATTATTATTTTCAATTTTTCCTATTATTAATTGATTATCCCAACAGCCCTCCTTAGGGGTTTAAATAACCCTCTAAGTCTAATCAAAATAGGAATCCTAATTAAACGATACTAGGAAACTAAATAAAATAGAAAACCTCTAATTTCAATAAGAATAGAAGTCCTAATTAAACCATACTAGGAAACTAAATAGAATAGGAAACCTCTGATTCTAATAAGAATATAAGTCCTAATTAAGTCCTATAGGCGGCAACAAAATAAATTAGGAAACATAATAAAAGGAATAAATAAACTATTAGTATTTAAAATAACTAGAACCAGCCCACGAAGGTGGGCTCAAGCCCGTCCCCGCCTATGGTAGAGCAACAGGGGCTTGGGGCTCGGATCCACTTCCTCCGCCCCACTCCCAGCTCTTCCTGCTCTCTATCACCTTATTAGCTTTGCTAGATATTCTAATTGTGCTTGGGTCATGGAGTCTTGTAGGGAAAGGAAAAAATTGATACCATTTTCTTATGTTAGGTTTCACCGCAAAAATGCAAAGGTGTTTGATTTCTTATAGGGGGATAGAACTGGGATTTCAAAGACTTTTTTAAGATCACAAAGGCTGGTGGGTTTAATAGATTTTGTAGGAATGCCATGACTTTTATGGTAGACTTGGGGCAAGGGAAGGAAGGGGAGTATTTTTGTGTTACCCTATTAGGTTTAGATGGGATTGGGAAGTAACTTATGCACCTCCTGCCACCAAATTATTCTTGTATCAACAAGAGGGGAGGGGACCATTTTCCCTTCCCTCCTCTCAACCAACCTCAAACCAATCATTTACGATTTTTTTAACAAGTCTGGTGGATTTTAAAAGATATGATTGGAATATAGCGACTTTTAGAATTTTCTTTCAAGAGCCAGCGAAATTTTGAAGGGAAGCCTTGGTGCACCGGTTAGATGTTGTGTGACCGAGAGGTCATGGGTTCAAAACTTCAAGTTTTCAGAACAGGCTCTTGTCATAAAATGACAACAGAAGGTTTGGCCTTTATACACGCGTGTGGGGGGACCCGTCGCCGGACCCTAACCTTGCGGGAATGTCATTGTGCAATGGGCTACCCTTTTTAGTCTACAGGATTTTAATGGATTTATAATGAATGCCTTTATAAGGATTGAATGGATTAATGAAAGGTCTGAAGGGATTTTATTGATTTATAAAATTACGAAGAAATTAATCCCTCCAATCCTTATTAATACTTGCAACTTTATAAGGCATGATTTAGGCTTTCAAGCAGAACAAAGATATAACAAGAATACACTAGTTATTTCCCAATTACATTTATCAGATAAATTAATAAGAAAACAAAATTTTCACAAAATAGAAAGAAAAAATATACAGTATTTAAAGACTTGCAAAACAGCATGGTACGAAGTACGAGCATGACAGTACACATGAATATACGTGGGACAATTTTCTCCTAAAATGTCATCACACAAAAAAGGGGGAAAGAAAACTAATGCATTCGAGAAGTAAACACATATTGTATTACATAATAATTGTTATTAGTATAATGATGATAACAGGGAGGAGGAGGAGGAGGAGGTTATACATTGATGAATTAATAATTTGAATTAATAAACACATGTATAAACACATATTGATGAATTAATAATTTCAACATTTGGTACATAAATAAAAATATTAATAAGACGGTTGAAAAGAAAGAAGAAAGAACATATCTTGGCCGTCAGGAAGAGTTTTGGGCAAGAGAAAGAAAAGCCTCAAGGGTTTGAATTGGGATAGTCGAAAGGGTTTTCATTTATACAAGGTGGGTAAAAATCCAACAAAATCCTTTGAATTGCATAACCTCTCGAATTCTACAAACTTTTGAATACCTTAACACTTCTTTTTTGAGTTCTAACAAATCTCAATTGATTACCACAAAATTTATGGAATTCGTGAATACAACGAATACATGGCTTTTTTTATATTCTGTAAAAGTCTTGATTGGATAAAACACTTTTTAGACCTAAAATAAGCTTTAGAAAACAAAAATAAAAACTTAAGAATTCACATGATGTATAACTACCTTTCTCTCATCGTGCAGGGGAGAGTTAGCAGTGGGGCCCCCAAATTCTGAATCTAAAGAATTCAAGTAAAAATCATAAATTAGTATATCAACAAACTAGGTGAACGAAAAAGCAGTTAAAGAAGAAAATGGTTGATGTTTCAATTTTTTACTACTAAACCACCTGTCCTTCCTTTAGAGTTTTCATCTTCTTGACCACTGCACGGGCATGAAGTTATAACTTTCTCGGGTACAAACTCCAAAGAAGTATCTTCCACTTCTACATGTTCTAACTTTGGGTCTTCAGGAGATTCTGCAAACTGTTCCTCAAATAGTGATAATATATTAGCTTTGTTGAATGAGTTTTCCATCGTAACCATAAGCTTAAGGGCATGATTGGATCACATCAATTTCTAGGGAAAAATAAAATTGTTGCTAAAGAAAGTTTTTTTAATATTAGGTATTAGTGTTTTATCACAGAAAATGTAAACGAAAATGAAACATGATTAAGTGATTAATGCATGTCTCGGTTTCTTGGGGGATGTACTGAACTAGGATCTTAAAAGAAGATTTTTAGGATTTAAACCGATGGATTTTAAATGATTTTATAGAAATAACCCGATGGATTTTAATATATTTATAGTAAAGGCTTTCTTATAAGATTTAAAGAATTTGTGGATTTATAAGTTAAGAAAGAAATTACTCTCTCCCGTCCTTTAATGTATAACTACCTTTCCCTCATCGTGCAGGGGAGAGTTAGCAGTGGGCCCCACAAGTTCTGAATCTAAAGAATTCAAGTAAAAATCATAAATTAGTATATCAACAAACTAGGTGAACGAAAAAGCAGTTAAAGAAGAAAATGGTTGTCTCAATTTTTTACTACCAAACCACCTGTCCTTCCTTCAGAGTTTTCATCTTCTTGAACACTGCACTGGCATGAAGTTGTAATTTTCTCGGGTTCAAACTCCAACAAAGTATCTTCCACTTCTACATGTTCTAACTTTGGGTCTTCAGGAGATTCTACAAACTGTTCCTCAAATAGTGATAGTATATTAGCTTTGTTGAATGAGTTTTCCATCTTAACTATAAGCTTAAGGGCATGATTGGATCACATCAATTTCTAGGGAAATTAAAATTATTACTAAAGAAAGTTTTTTTAATATTAGGTTTTAGTGTTTTACCACAGAAAATGTAAAGGAAAATGAAACATGATTAAGTGATTAATGTATGTCTCGGTTTCTTAGGGGGTGTACTGAACTAGGATCTTAAAAGAAGATTTTTAGGATTTAAACTGATGGATTTTAAATGATTTTATAGAAATAACCCAATGGATTTTAATATATTTATAGTAAAGGCTTTCTTATAAGATTTAAAGAATTTGTGGATTTATAAGTTTAGTAAGAAATTACTCTCTCCAGTCCTTTACACAAGGCACCACTTTGGCTTTCACTAGTTAGTTTTTTATAAATCTCAAATAGATTTTTAAGAAAACAAAATTCACAATAAAAAAGTTAATAGTAGAATAATGTATAGAAACAAAACCTGTGAAGCAACAAGCTACAAAAATGATTTCCGCATAAAAATATACTTCAAAAAATACTCCTAACACGGCATGATTCAACAAAAGGAAAGAAAATGAACACACAGACACGTGAAGAGCACAGTGTATAACATAATGATCATTGGAATATTATGATAAGAAGAGTCACTTCAAAATTTTAAACTTTTGTATCCTCTAAATACTCTTTTGGTGTTCTATATAATTTCAACTGTAAATCAAAATATTTTATGCCCTTTGTGAAGAAACCCTTAAAGTTTTGACTAATTACAACATGACTTGTTTATATTTTTTACAAGTCATGATTCAATACCGCATATTTCTTTACATAAAATTCTTTTAAATCTTTCATAAATAATTTAAAAGCCACATGATGTGAAATTACCATCCCCTCATCATGCAGAGAAGAGTTGGCAGTGTGCTCCACAAGTATTGTATCTATGGAGAGCAGATAAAGATCAAACATTAGTATATTAAAGAACTAGGTGAAAAAGATGCAGTCACAGAAGAAAAAAGGTTGCCTCAGTTTCTTTATTACCACCTGTTCTCTCTATGGGGTTTTTGCCTTTCTGATCATTGGACTGGCATAAAGTTACCATGACATTGGTTGATCCACATTCCAAAGAAGTGCTTTCCATTTTAGTATCTTCTAACTTTGAGTCTTGAAGAGTCTTTCCCAACTGTTCCAAAAATAGCAATAGCTTGTTAGATTTGCTGAAATGAATTTCCATCTCCTCTAAACGCTGAAGGGTATTTTGGGATCATGAATTTTTTTTAAAGGAAAAGATTGTTAATTGATAAGGAAAGCTATTTTCTTGTATTTGGTTTTACCACAGAAAATGCAAAGGAAACTGAAAAATGATTGATGTATGTTTTGATAAATGCCATTTCTTTCATAAAGTTATGTAGCTCTGTGAACGAAGCTTGCATCTTAACAAATACCATCAGAAAATGCTAGACATGGAATTCAGTGTGAGTGTGTGACATTTCTTTCTTTTTTGTAGAGAAGAATGCAACCATTGTTAATACGCAATGCCATGATATGTTTTATGTTGGATATTGTAGAATGGACTCCGGAATCACTAACAACAATAAAGACAACAACAACAACAAAAACACCCAAGCCTTAGTCCCAAAAGATTTGGGGTGGTATCAGAGTAATACCATAAACACTACTCCTGGCTCTTGTAACTTTTAGTACCTTACATGCTACAGTTGGTTGGCAATCTTCAGTTTTAGAAGAATGCTGGATTTTTAAGTCCTTCAGTTCCTCCCTAAGGCAGTAAATATCATTCTCAGCAACCTGATTGAAATGAAATTATTAATATATGTTCGTCTACTGTAGAAACCCCAACATACAATGAATTAATGAAGACAGGACCTCAAGTTTTTTCTTGTAGTCCTTTAAGAGTTTCCATAGTGCCTTTGAAAACCCCAGTAAGACCTGATACTGTCTATCTTTCCCTTCAATGTTAGTTTGAACAGCCATAGCTGAAAATCTGTCATTGACATTTGCACCATCTAAATCTTGTTCTGAATGTATTGAAGCTTCTATCAACTTTTTATCATCAACCCCTCTAGCAATGTGCTCTAGACATGCAATCCATAGACCAATGTTTTAGAGCAACGGACAGTCAGGAGAAAAACTCTACAGAATAGAAAGAATTTTGTAATAACCTTCTTTTATAAGAGAGGAATCTTGTCCCATCTTTACTCGACCAGGCTGCAAATAAGTAATTACAGTTGAAGAGCTATTAATGATAAAGAATGTACACAGACACAAGTTATGCATGTGTATGTGTTACCTTGAGAGCTTCAATGTCACCCATCTTCATTCTTTTGATTTGGTCTGACATGGGGACTGTCTGACGAGCCCTTTTATTGCAATTTAAATTTAACGGTTCTTCAATGCAGTCAAACCTAGGCACAAATATTTACTAAAAGCCCAGAATGGATAAATTAATATATCTATATATTTATCTATATATACATATTAGAGTTGCACCCTCGTATTCGCTGGGCTCTTATACTCGACTCTAAAGGTTTTGCAAATGTACTTTGTTACCAAGGGTAAGGTTTTATGTCCCCATTCTTCTTGATTCGGGATTTTATTAATAATAATCGGTAAAAGTTTTGGGGCATTTAGCCCACAGATTTTGGTGGTATGCCAACCAGGTTAAAAAAAATTAAAAAAAAAAAAAATATTATACAAAGCCGACATACTTTATCTTTGTATATGGTGAAGCCTGCCTTAAAAGAAAAGAAGTGTCAATATAATCTTCTCGCTCGGCTCTAGCAGTTAATAGCTGAAAAGAGAAATAGTGCAACTAAACACATGTCAAGATTTAAAAGAAAATCGACGGATAGAACTATGGGTAGCATTGTATAAACATCAATACTATTCATTTGTAGTTATTGTTAAAAAAGTGCGAAGAACGCACCAATGCCATCCGCTTCTTTCCCTCCAAATAATCTCGCAAGTATCTTGTCAACTAATCAAAGAGAACAAGACAGAAAAACTTGTTGCACATTCAATACAGAGCGGAGTGGAATCAACAAATTTTCTTCAGCGGATAAAAAGTACTTGGGAGAGTGTGTATATGATATAGAGAAAAAATAAATTATAAGGAAAAGGAAGAATATAAGTAGCAACTAGTGGTCGGATTGTGCAAACATAAAATAATTCAGCTAAAGAAATGTTACCATAGAATTTTGAAAATGTTTCTGCAGTGGCTTTTTGGGGTTCTTTTGATGTTCCAGCAAAGACTGCAATGGGTAGATTAAGCAATGATGGAATAAAAGCATATGGATACATGTTGGCGTGTTTTTATAGAAATAAAGTGATGAAAGCAAAATATTAGAATTTAAGAGTGCTAAAGGAAGATGGGGAAACTGCATATAAAATCCAAACCATGTAAAAAAAACTTGGATTCTTACCCGCAAACACTGTCCAAACACCATAGATGTGTTGTTGATAAAATTACTTTCAAGCAACCTAGCCCCCTAAGTATAAGGGCAGCTGTCAGTCAACTGTGCCATTAAACAAATTATTATGCAACATAAAAAACAGAAATATGTGTATAATTAAACATTTAAACAGCATCATCGAGTTATTTCTTTTATTATTAGTTTTTCAAAAATGCGATCGACGTATGCCGACTAGACTGAAAGGTAAATTTTATCCTACAGCGATTAGGCATGCATTAAAGTATGGTGTAGAGTGTTGGGCGGTGACACAATGTCACATTCAAAAGATGAGTGTGGCAGAGATGCGTATGTTGCGATGGATGTGTGGACATACCAGAAAAGACCGCTTGAGAAATGAGATAATCAGACAAAAGGTGAGAGTAACACCTATAGAAGATAAGATGCAGGAGTCTCGGTTGTGGTGATTTGGGCAGGTGCGTAGAAGACCGAGTGATGCACGTGTTAGACGGCTTGAGGGGTGGGAGAAGAGACAGAAAGGAGAGAGAGAGAGAGAAAGACCCAAGCAGACTTGGATTACAAGAATCAGAAGTGATATGCGTCTCTTCTTGGAGAGAGGAAAGTGGAGGGCGCACATGCGTGCGGACGATTGATCTCTTTTCTATCTTTCCTCTCTCTCTTTTTATCGTTTATCTTCTTTATCTTTTTATGTTTTTATGTTATTTTTATCTTCTAGCTTCTTTATCTTTTATTTTCTTATATTTATTTATATTTATCTTATCCATTTTATTTTTTTTCGTTTTTTTTGTCTTCTCTTTTTGGCATCAATATCATGGATCGATTCATGTTAGCCGATCCAAATTCTTTTGGGATTAAGGCTTGGATGTTGTTGTATTAGTTTTTCAAAATATAAATCTGCCATGCATTTGAAGAGCACCTGATAGGGACGCGTACAATAAAGACTAATAATAGAATAATATTAAATATTGTTATAGTGTACAAGTGAGGGTTTCGGGCCAAGTAATTCATTAGTTTGGGCTGACCCTTAAGGATAGGAATATTATAAAAGGGGGATGGGGTGAAGAATAAAGGTGGGCTGGGATTAATTTATTGGCTTGAAACTTGGAGAGTTAGCCCTCTTTAACTGCCATTGTATTTTCTTTTTCTATTCTGTTATACAAAGTTTTCCATTGTTACGTAGATCTGTTTCCTTCATCTCTAGCTCTCAAAACCATAGGTACAGGGATCGCATAACTACCCGCGATTTCCGATCCGGATCGCGCGTACCGGATCGCGGTACAATCGCGCGCCGATCGCCTCTGGTTCGCGTTTCGGGTACGGCGGATCCTGGCAGCAGTTCGCGTCTTTCGTCCAGCGGGTATGCCGATTCCAGGTTGAGGTTCGCTCGTTCCCTCCAGCATCCAACGAACCGGCAGTCCAACAGTCTTGATTTTTGATTTTTTTTGAACTCCAAGCCATGGTCGGCAACTGACGAGCTTCACAGTTCGTAAATTTTAATACGAATTTCATTCCTTAAAAAACTAAACGACTCGACCCCTCAGGCTCTCATAGTGTGAAACGACTTTTCATTCATATTTCACACTTCATAGTTCACGCAATCACACCTATTTAAAGGCTTAACATCAGTACTCAGCATATCAGACTCTCTCCACCTCTCTACTCTTCTCTACTTAGTCTACTCTGTGTATACTGTTTGCCTCAGTATTCTTTTCTTCAAAATGGTATTTGGCAAGCGTAAATTGCTAGAAACACAGTCAGGTGACATCACAGATATGACACAGTCAGAAGTTAATTGTTTAATATTATATTAATTATATTTATAGTTTACTTGGTAAATTCTACTACCTCCGTCCCGCTAAGTTTGGGACAAGAGAAGGTGGCACGGTTATTAATAAAAATGGGTTTATATGGTTGATATTGAATTGATAAAGTAAGAATAAAGTAGGAATGCTTTAGAACCACACAAACTTTACCAAATAAGGTATGGGACAATCTTAGTGGGACGGACCGAAATGATAAAATGGCACAATCATAGCGGGACGGAGGGAGTATATGTTTATGGTTCACCGTACCATAAACAAATGGTACAGCGTACCGCGTACCGAAATCGCGTACCGAAATAGCGTACCGAAATAGCGTACCGAAGAAGCCTACCCCCCGCGTATCGGATTTCTAATTATGGCGATCCGCGTTCCCGTTTCCGTACCGCGTACCGAAACGTACCGTGATCCATGTGACTATGCTCAAAACCTAGGTAGTTAACTCGTTACTCGGTAGCAAATCGGTCAAGGGTCGAGTAGCGAGTAGGACCGATTACTCGGGTCCTGTATTAATTATACTCCGTATTTTATAAGATAGGTACCCGAGATTATAGAAATACTACCTCCGTCCCTTTTTAGTTTGCCAACTTTGACTTTTCCAGTCAAAGATGATAAACTTGGATCCATTATTTTAACTAATATATTTATGTAAAAGTTAATAAATTTATACTTTTATGATAGTATTTTCAACAAAGAACATTTTCATATAATTTTCTTATTATCAATATTACCGTGTATAAATATATAATTGGTCAAAGTTGAACAACTTTGACTTGAAAATTTGTGTTTGGCAAACTAAAAAGGGACGGAGGGAGTATAATAGTCTGAAAATTGTCTTAGAATGCATAGAAATAAATAAAATGATAAAAATCCTAATGATGAAGTGGCAAAAGACAAACATTCTAAGTTTTCAAGAAAAATAGTCATCTAAAAATGGCTCACTAAACTGTCTGCGCTTCTTTGTTATGAAGCAGCAGTCAATCCTTGCAATTTTGGACGCGATTTTCAGTATGGGTCATCCGGAAACAGTCTCTTTGTGCTTTAGTACAGGGGTAAGACTGCGTACATCCGACCCCCCCTTACCCCACCGTAGGTGGGAGCCTTTGTGGCACTGGGGTAAATGAAAATGAAAATGATCCCCATGTCCCCAAATAGATCTTTAGTAGTCAGATTCCCCACTTGTTCTTCCTCTTCAACTTCCAGGTCATCTAAATTAATACTACCTCCATCCCTTAAAACTTTGCCAAGCTTGACCGACACGGGAATTAATAAAGTAAAAACTATGTAATTGAGGTTTGTGTCCACTAAAATTTCATCAGAGAAGTGCGGAAAATTTTTCTTGACAGTAAGATGTCCAGCTAACTTCCTCTATGGTGCAACAAGAACACCGCGGTACGTGCAGAGATCCTCACTATCTTCTTCTGATGATGATGAAGAGGAGCAATCATTTAGGTTCTGAACAAAGGTTGTCGGATCACCCGTCTCTGTGACACCCTCTGAAGACCGTTTGTCGGTCGGATCATCATCTGCCCCTCCTTGACTGATATTTTCAGTATTTAACTTATCTGCGTTTTCTCCATTTTCGCTAAGTCCCCTCGAAACATAAGCCACAGAAGGTTTGGCTCTGGAGAAGAATTATCCGCTTCTCTAGCGAAATTTTCCGCTAGATTGGCGACGATGAAATTTTCCGCTAAATTGACCGCTTATCATCATTCCGCTTCTCTGGTCCGACCTGCCGGATTCGAACCCGATCGGCAGGTCGGACCAATTGTTGTGAACTAAAAAAATAAAATCAACGGGGTGAACCGTTGCCCAGATAATCAACGATAAATAAATATCGTTGCCCAGAGCCAAAAGGCTAAACCAACTTTTATTCCAAGATTCTCAAGAATGAATCCTAACAAGGGGTTTAAATACCCATCTACTAATTCTCAAAGTAGGAAACAAAATCCTAGAAATCCTTATCAACTCTAACTAGGAAACAGAATAATAGAGATCCTAATCAACTTCAAAAAGGAAACAAATAATGGAAATACTAATTAACTCCTAATAGGAAACAAATAATAGAAATCCTAATTAACTCCAAATAGGAAACAAATCAGGAAAATAAAAAATAATAAATATTAATTAAGCAGCCCGCAACCAGCCCACGAAGGTGGGCTCAAGCCCGTCCCGCCTTCGGTAAACCCACGGGGGCTTCTGCCCCTCTTCTTCCAAGCCCAGATTCTGCTTCATATCAGTACTGGAGGATCATATGTTTATAAAAACTTTGACTCTTTTGGTAGGCTTGATCTAGGTAAGGTTGAACAGGAACGTGGAAGCCAGAAACAAAAACTACTTAAGTGGCTTGGCCTATGTAGCACCGACACGGGTACGCGGAAACGCGGAAACGGGAACGGGGATACGACAAAACCAAAAAAAATATGATACGGATACGGGGTCATATTTATGAATATTAAAAGTTATGAGGGTGTATTTATAAATATTAAAAGTTACAGGGGTTTATTTATAAATATTAAAAATACAATTTTTTTTTGAAAAAAATAGACATATATTTTCCTCTGATGTCTACTCATTCATGCATTGAAGCATTTTACATTTTCAAGATACTTGGAAATAAGTTCATATTTTATCTCATATACTCTAGTGCACCTCGAAATATAATCATATCAATAAGTCATTAATTTAAAATGAAAATAAGTCAAACAACTACAATTTTGAAATTAATAGTGCAAAGTACTCAAATTTCTAGAATAATGAAGATAGAAAACAATATTTTAAAAGTTCTAAAACATATTGTCGTTGGAACTATTAATTTTCAGGGATAATTAAAAGTACGGATAGGAGGATGGGTGAATTAGGAATAGGCACATTAGTTGTGTACCACATAAAAGCAAGGGCAAATTATTTTTAGTTTTTCATTTTTTAAGAATTCTATTATGTAAATTTTGAGTGTTTTTTTGGAAGTTTTTTTTTAAAAAGTAGATACGGGTATCCGTCAGGATATGAGTATCCGAAATTTTAAAATAATTACCAAAAAAATTGGAAACTTTTAAAAATTGCAGATACGGCCCGGGAACGTACGGTACGAGTATCCTAGAGTATCGGATACGGGAACGTTTCCGATACGCAGATACGGCACCCTAGGGAAGTATCCGTGCTTCATAGGGCCTGGCAGTTCCGCTCTTGTTTCTGAAAAGGGAAAGTCAATTGATAGCATAAGTGCATTTTGTGGAAATATACCTTAAAAAAGCCCCAACAATATCAAGCACCATAGATGATGGATGAATGATGGATCATATCCAAGGATGCAAGGGATGTTGGCAGCTTGATCGTTACAAACAAAAATGAATCAATGTATCAAAAAGGATACCGGGACGAGACTAGCATTATTTCTTTTGTTGATCAATGTGTTGCGTTGGAAGCAGCTGAAATCTCTAGGGAAAGATCGAGGAAAAGAGAGATTACAAACTTTGAGTACTTGATGATTCTTAACAGCTAAAACACTGGCTGGAAGATCTTAATGTGAGTTAACTCAGTATCATGGGTTTCCTTGGGTTTTGGCTGATTATTCATCAGAGACTCTTGGTTTGAACAAATCATCTACTTACCAGGATCTTTCAAAACCAGTTGGAGCACTAGAACCAATACAATTGGAGGGTGGCAAGTTTTATCATGTCGGCAGACTTTTTCAAGGCATCGAAGGCACATTTTGGAATTGCCTTTCTAATACTAGTGATGAGAAGAAATTGATGCATGAATTCTTTTACATGCTAGAGTTCATCATCAATTCAAATGCATATCATTTTGGAGCACCACAAGATGGAGAGAGAATAGGTGATGTTGTGCTACTTCGATGGGCTAAGGGTCCTCTTGAAGAATTCATAGGCAAGCACAGGGAGGCTCTTGAAAGTGAATATGTTAGTTCAAACCTTCACCATTGGATTGATTTGAGCTTTGGTTATAAAGAACACGGGAAACCAGCAGTTGAGGCAGCAAACATATTTTACTATGTAACGTACGAAGGCACTGTTGATCATGAGACAATGGAAGATGGGTAAGGGAGACAGTGACTAGGAGATTCTAAGTTTCTAACCTTTACAACATTATGGACCATTATGCCACCATGTCTTTGCTTCTGCTTCTTCCTGCTGTGAAGAAAGTAAGGATGAAGACTCAAGTACTTAAGCTCAAGGTCCAAAAATCAGTGAGGTACTAAGAAGGGTCAAGGGAGAGGCGCAAGGATGAAGCAGATGGTCAGGGCTGTTTCCTACCACCCACCTTGAGGACAAGGTGGTTCTCAAGGGGGAGGTGGTGATAGAGACCCGGGCAACAAAGACTAATAATGGAGTAGTATTAAATATTGTAATGGTGTACAAGTGAGGGTTTCACGCTATGTAATTCATGAGCTTGGGCCGACTCTTAAGGATAGGAATATTATAAAAGGGGAAAGGATGGAAGAATAAAGGTAGGCTGGGATTATCCTATTAGCTTGGGACTTGGAGAGTTGGCACTCTTTAACTGCCTTTGTATTTTCTCTCTATTCTGTTATACGAAGTTTCTATTGTTACGTAGATCTATTCCTTCATCACTAGCTCTCAAAAATCTGTAAATTGGAGCGTTCTCTGTCAGTAGCATGCTCATGCGATATTATTAGTTAGGTCATTGCAACTAACATATTTCCTTTAAGAAAGATATTTAAGAAAATACAATACAGGAGTTGTCCGTTTGTCACTTATATCAAGATTAAATAAAACATTCCTAGCTATGGTGTTTTAAACAACTTTTGAATTTTCAAGATCTATGATGCACTCTAGGCCTCTAGCGAACACTAATCCATTAAGTTGCCAGATAAGGGTGATACCTTATTTCCAGTCCTTTTTTCCCTTTCAGCCCCTGCAAGGTCAACTATTGTCAAGATAGAGCCATTTGACTCTTCACTAACTTCCCCATCGCCCTTTTTGTGACCACAGCGAATGTTTATTATGCACTGAGAGCGACTGAATGGATATAGTAATAATAATAATATTGCAATGAAATATCAATAAATAGACACGCATAACATATATCAGCAAATCAAGCATGCAAAGAATAAATGCTCCAAAACTAGATTATTAGTTATAACCGTGTACCTAGAGTGACTATTGGAATTTGTCATGGCTGTTGCGCGCCTTAACAAACCACGTCCTATTATGGTTTCAGCCTGTTGTATGTCATTAACTCTGATCTACAATAGTTATATAAAAACGAAAAAACGAAGTTGCTTAGCAGTTAGCATTAAAAAGAAACGACATTGGATGAAGAGAATAGAGAAAGCTTGTGCGGAACCTCATGCAAGCCTTTAATGGATGTGTGCTGTATGCATAAATCAGTACTATCTTGGGATAAATCAAATATCTTCTCAGACTTCCCTTTCTCTGAACAAATTTCGAACATTGAAAGGTGGTAAATCCTGTCCATTATAAAGCATCAATACCTAAAACATGTTATCTATTTTACCCGTGATAAATGCAGAAATGGAATATCCAGGAACTCTAATAATATACTTCAGCAAGAGCAATAACTACCTCTAATCTGTGCAGCAGTGGACTCGCTACTAGATTTGTGGCAGAAAAACAGGTCAAATCATTCCAAAGTTCAAACTAAAACTTATAAATACACTGAACGGTGATTGGCCTGTTCTTTTTACCACAAATTTAGCACCTAGCACAGGAATGTCCACTATGGTAGAGAATCCTTTTTCTTCCAGCAAACACCAGAACTTAAAAAACGTCCAAATAGCCAAAACAAGATTTTCAAAAAAAAAGTGTCCACCAACTAGAGTTTCAATTGCATTAATCAAGAATTATACACAGAATTAACTTCTGTGTGTGATGATGTGGATGTGGCCTATTTTTTAAACATAGACTTTTGCAAAATGCAAAGGAGAATCCTTGCTCTTTCGACACACACCGGAATTAGTACAGAGTTTTTCATAGTAAAAGCTCCATATAACAATAACAAAATTTTCAAATCCTGTCAAAACGAGTTTCAGATGCCTTGAGCATTATAGAAACTTAACTTCTGCATTCACCTGATAATAACAGTGGTCAGTAACAATAACAAAATATACAGGGCATCACAAGCGGTCATATTGAGGTACCATGAACTGAATAGAAGTTATAACCTTGGTGGTTTAGTCTTATCGCCATCTTCAGAGAACAGTTGTTGAAGTGCAAGTGTGACCATACCGGGGTCCTTCACAGATCCAAAGATAGTATGTGTCTTCCCAGAGCCACTTGGACCTAAAGCAGCAAGCATCCCACTCTTTCCACGGAGAAGATCATCAACCAAAGGATTCACCATTTTCTCATATACTTCCTTCTACAATACAGTTTAGTACATTGTGAATTCTATTATTCAATGGCTACAAATAACAGTGTATAAGAATCTTCAAGTGTAATGTAAGAACAAAATACCTGAGACGCCTCAGGAGAAAATACTTCGGAGAAACCTTCATAAACCTCGTATTTCGTCCGCTTGGTGTCTTGCAATTTCGAGGGTGGTACGAGCGTTACTGAGTGTGAATCGTTCACCGCTAAGCAAATATTGCTGTTTGTCTTCAACCTCTTGTCCAAATTGATCTTGGCTCTAGGGTTTTTAGGCCAAACATTCTTTGCCTGTAATTTTGAAGCTCCTGATTTTGCCTTCTTTCCAGCACTATTCTGAATGACCACCGGCCGGATTCTCAGATAGACTTTGAGATTCTCTGGTAGATGTTCTTCTGTCGTTACTGAATCTAACTTCGGGTCTGCATTTACATCAATAGACAAAATCTCTTGAATAGGAAATGAAGAGATATTATTGCTGCGGACTGGGTTTGGCTTAAGAAATGAGGGCGGATTGTTCGTTGATGGCGTATCCCGAGCACGTCGGTGAGGGTTCCGGCGAACGGTCACCGCTTTCGGACACGTCTGGGGACTGTTCACATCTGCGTTCTGAACCTCCATGATCTAGCTTTCTTGGCCGGCGATCGATTATTCAAATTTCTGCAAATTTTGCGGGAATGGTATTCAAAAGGGCTCTTCGAGCACATACATAAATTGGGAATTTTTCACGGATCAAAAAAGTGAAAATAATATCATTTTTTTTATTACCTTCGTCCCTTAAAATTGGGAATTTTTCACGGATCAAAAAAGTGAAAATAATATCATTTTTTTATTATCTTCGTCCCTTAAAATTTTGACAAAGTTGACCGTCGCGGAGAATAGTAAAGTAAAAAGTGTGTGGTTCAAGTTTGTACAGAGGAGAGAGAAATAACATAAACCACAAAATAATTAATTAAAAGGAAAAGTGAAAAAGTTTTTTAGGACGTCCCAAAAAGGAAAGTTGACAAAGTTTTAAGGGACAGAGAAAGTAACGTTTAATTTCTTTTTCAAATATAGACTTGTAAATTTTTTCTTTTCACTTCAACAGTAAACCATGCGGAGTGCACTTATCTTGTTCTAAAAGGTGGCCAAAGGCGTCGAAAAGGCGGGCCTAGGCGCCAGGCGGCTTGGAAACGCCCCACCCACCCATTAGTCGGGCCTAGGCGTCGAAAATGGAGAAGAAAAACCGCGACTTGCAGCGCGCAGGCATTCTGGTCGCTCCGGTATGAAGACCTCTGTCCCATTTATATTGTCTCAGTTCTTATTTACTTGGTCAACACAAATCACTCTTAATTTCTTACTTTATATATCAAAAATTTATCAAATTTGATTCAGGTTTTTGCGACTTTGTAAAGCTTTAAATGTAGTTTATGAATATGTAATTTTTTTCCCTAAAAATAATTTGAATGCGGACAGGGATCTGTTTGCTTTATCGTCGGTCAAACATCGTAAACCGTAAAGAGACAATATAAATGGGACGGATGTAGTATCTTTTAATGCATCTTTAAATGGACAGTTTTTCGACATATTAATGCCCAACGCGCTGGCCATTTAGGTCCATTAAAGATCACTTAACACACCACAAATCCTCCCTATATATAGTTGGCACGTGCTTTGCAACAACACAACACACAACAGTTAGCACGAAACTTTTGAGCTAAAATCACCTCCAACTCTCCGAAATTTCTTTAGTGTTCACACTTTGTTCTCGTTCATCGGGACTTTCGTTTATGTGCTCAAACTCTCGTTCGTTAGTCACCGTATCCTGGGAAACGGTCGTTGCAACGCTCTTTGCACCGTGGGAGACAACAAATACGTTTTAAGAACATCGTGTGTAGCATGAGCTCATGCTATTTTTCTGCTCCATCTAATTTCTTGTTTTTCTTTAGTCATTTTAATTAATTTTATTAATTAGTTTTTTCTTTATTTTCCGAAACACACTCAACAATCTTAAAACGTATTCGGTGATTGTTGTACTGTGGTAAACCATCTTAAAACGTACTCGATAAGCTTGTATCATACGGATACAATCTTAAAACGTAGTTTGTCACTTATGTGAACGCACTTATTTTTTTGTTTTCGGAAAACGTGAGAAATGAAAAAATGGCTTTGCAAGAAAAAGAAAATAATGTTGGGCAGAATGTGCAGGTGGACACACAATCTGAAAGTGGAGTTCCGGTGAACAATAGTTCACAACGCGGAATATCTGCTTTGGCCAACCAAAGGGCAATCCCTATGGTGACCGTGTCGAGCAACTCTGTGGAGAAACCCGAAAAATTCAATGGGTTAAACTTCAAGAGGTGGCAGCAAAAGATGCTCTTTTATCTCACTACACTCGGCTTGGCAAGGTTCTTGACCGAGGACGCTCCGGTTTTAACTGGAGGTGAGGTGGATGCGCAATCTTTCAACGCAGTTGAAGCATGGAAGCATTCTGACTTCCTTTGCCGAAACTATGTGTTGAATGGGTTGTATAATGTTTTGTACGATGTGTATAACAAATTAGCTACGGCTAAGGAGCTATGGAATGCTTTGGACCACAAATATAAAACCGAGGATGTCGGCGCAAAAAAAATTGTTTTTGGTCGATTCCTTGATTTTAAAATGGTGGATTCGAAGACGGTCTTGAGTCAGGTTGAGGAAATGCAAATGATCTTCAACGGTATTCGAGATGAAGGAATGACGGTTAGCGAGTGTGTCCAAGTGGTGTCAATTATTTACTTATCGTCGCCGGTTTGGAAGGATTTCAAGAACTACCTTAAGCATAAGCGAAAGGAAATGAACTTAGAGCAGTTGATCCCTCGTTTTCGGATTGAAGAGGATAACCGGAAGAATGATGGGAAACTCCCAATTGTTAGCGGCGCCAAGGCGAACGTGGTGGAGCATGCAAATGGCTCCAAAAATAAGAATAATGGGAAGAGCAAGCTCGGTCCCAAGGGAGGCGTTTCCAAGACAAAGTTCAATGGAAAATGCTTCAATTGCAATAAAAACGGACACAAGTCCGCGGATTGCAAGGCACCCAAGAAAAAGAAGGACTCTCAAGTCAACTTGGTGCAAGGTGGGCAAAATGATTGAAGAAATTATCCTTGCGGCCGTGGTGATCGAGGTCAACCTCGTTGGATCCAATTCTAAGGAGTTGTTCGTGGACACCGGCGCTACCCGACATATTTGCTCAAACCAAGAGTTATTCACAACTTTTGAACCATCAAATGGCGAGAAGGTGTGGATGGGAAACTCAGCTCATTCCGCGGTGGAAGGCGCGGGCAAAGTGGTCCTGAAGATGACTTCGGGCAAGGAGCTGACTCTCAACCAAGTGTTGTTCGTCCCGGAGATATGCAAAAGCCTGATATCGGGCTCGTTGTTGAACAAACATGGCTTCCACATGGTGTTTGAGTTGGACAAATTAGTTTTGTCTAAGTCGGGAATGTATGTGGGAAATACATGTGACGGGTTGTTTAAGCTCAATGTAATGACTATTGTTAATAATAATAATAAAATCTCTTCTGCTTACTTGCTTGAGTCTTCCAATGTATGGCATGGTAGACTAGGACATGTTAATTTTGAATCTACACGTAGATGAATTAACATGGAACACATTCCTAAACTCACAATTGATGTGATGCACAAATGTGAAGTTTGTGTAGAGGCAAAACCGCAAAACTAACGAAAACGTCTTTCAAATCGGTTGAAAGAAAAACAGAGCCAATAGAATTAATTCATAGTGACGTTTGTGATTTAAAATCAATACAAACTCGTGGCGGTAATAAATATTTTATTACCTTTATCGATGATAGCACTCGCTATAGCTATGTTTATTTATTAAAAAATAAACACGAAGCAATCGATAAATTCATTCTTTATAAGAATGAAGTGGAAAACCAACTTAATCGACAGATTAAATCGGTTATGAGTGATCGATGTGGTGAGTATGAAGCTCCAATTGGTGACTTTTGCACGAGCGTGGGTATAGTACATGAACGTACCGCACTCTATTCACCTCAATCAAATGGTGTTGCCGAACGAAAGAATCGCACATTTAAAGATATGATGAATGTGATGCTAGTAAGTTCGGACCTGCCACAAAATATGTGGGGAGAAGCAATTTTGTCAAGCAATTACCTTTTAAATAAGGTTCCCCGGGAAAAATATGATAAAACTCCGTACGAGTTGTGGAAAGGTAGAAAGCCTTCCTATCAATATTTAAAAGTGTGGGAGTGTCTTGCAAAGGTGCTTGTACCAACACCTAAGAAAATTTAAAAAAAAGTCCAAAAACGGTGGATTATGTTTTTATTGGATACGCACAAAATAGTAGTGCTTATCGGTTTTTAGTGTACGATTCGAATAATCCGGATGTACATAAAAACACAATAATTGAATCAAGGAATGCATCATTCTTTGAAGACGTATTTCCATGCAAGTCCAACGAGGGACCTAGCTTGTCAAAACGAACATTTGACGTAGCTATGGAAAATACTAGCTAGGGATCCGGAGAAGAACCCGAACCCAGACGTATCAAATGTGCTAGAGTTGAAAAATCTTTCGGACCGGATTTTCTTACATACTTGGTAGAATTTGATTCGGACATTTTATCATGTATGGTAGAAAATGAACCGGATTTTCTAACATGTTTGGTAGAAAATGAGCCACGGACTTATACAGAAGCCGTGACGTGTACCGAAGGTCCTATGTGGAAAGAAGGCATCAAAAGTGAGGTAGATTTTATCCTACAAAATCACACGTGGGAAATGGTTGTGTCACAACCCAGACCGCAATCCAAGCGCGTGTACAACCGCCGTATAATCAAGTGACGTCACCCGCGAGTCAACCTCACTTAATTACACAAGGCATTCGAGAAAATAATCGATCCATACTCAGTAGTAAACATACATAACAACATCACATTTTAACCAATGAATAGTGGAAATATTCAACGGTAAGTCATAAGCCACAACCGGCCAACAACATGGGCATGCAAGCCCCAAAAATAGTTTATACTAGAACAAATATCCATGAGCATGTGTTCGGTAGTTTGAAAGAAAATAAGGAAGCACGAACCGAGTCTTCCTGAAGTAGATGTCACCCGTAAGAAGGTGCAGGTAACAAGCCCTAGCTTCAACCTGAAAATGGTGGGGGGCCCGAAGGGGTCAGTACAAGTACCGAGCGAGTAGCAGGCTAAATATAGAATAACTAGCGTTTCAAGTATAAGACCCAAACATAGGGTGATACTTATGTAAATAGTCTTTTCCCCCAAGTTAAGAAATACTTACTAGTATATATACACTTGGGAAAATACCCGATCCGTAGATCACTGTTTTGTTTGGGAAAATAGTAATAGTCAATGTTCTTGACTAAAAACCCCAACCCACCCATATACCTATGAGTGTATAGGACTCCTCCTTGTCCCTATTTCAATATCATAATCTTTGAGTTTTGAGGATCAAAATCCCTGGGTACTCCACCAATTTATACTTGAGTGTTAAGGACTTTTAGTCCTAGGGTCCTCCACCAATTTATAATCCGAGTGTTGAGGACTTTAAGTCCTAGGGTCCTCCACCAATTTATAATCCGAGTGTTAAGGACTTTAAGTCCTAGGGTCCTCCACCAAAATATGAGTGTTAAGGACTTGTAAGTCCTAGGGTCC